AAAAAAAAAGCTGAATGGAGAGGGTCACAGCCCAAAGGTCACCAAATCTTCCTTCCCTATGACAGTTGGAATATATGAACTGTGTCATCATGGCCACAACCCCCACATTGTCGAGTACAGCCAGCTGCTTCGTGGGTCCTTTTACCAAGGTCCCAGCATCTGAGCTCTGCTCGCCTCAGAATCCCATCTCAGAACTGCATGCAGACCCCAGTCAAATCAGGTCAGCTATTGTCAGCAAACTACCAGACACACAGTCCCATTGACAATTGACTCCACTCATGATCCTGTTGGGTAACAGCCAGGCCAAACAACCTTGCTCTCTCCAGCATCCCTGCCTAGCAAATGTTTGATTCTGATAAGTCCAAGTTCTCTGAGATCAAACTAAAACCATAGCCCATGATTAAGAAACCACAAAGTCTGCATCTCTGGTGGTGAAAAATTTGACGAATATTGGGTATAAGTAAAAGAAAGAAAACAGCTCCTAAGATGCCTTGTTGTTGTTAGGTGCCATAGAGTCAGTTCTGACTCATAGAGACTCTCTGTGCAACAGAATGAAACATTGCCTGGTCCTGAACCATCCTCACAATCATTGTTATGTTTGAGCCCATTGTTGCAGACTGTGTCAATCCATCTCATTGAGGGTCTTCCTCTTTTTTGCTGACCCCCTACTTTACCAAGCATGATGTCCTTCTCCAGGGACTTCCCTCCTGACAATAGGCCCAAAGTATGTGAGATGACCTCTCGCCATCCTGTCTTCTGAAGAGCACGCTGGCTGTATCCCTTCCAAGACAGATTTGTTTGTTCTTCAGACAGTCTGTGGTATATTCAGTATTCTTCACCAACATCATCATACAAAGGCATCAATTCTTCTTCTGTCTTCCTACTCATCCTCCAGCTTTCACATACATATGAGGCGACTGAAAATACCATGGATGGGTCAGGTGCACCTTAGTCCTCAAAGTGACATCTTTGCTTTTTAACTCTTTAAAGAAGTCTTTTGCAGCACATTTGCCCATCGTAAAAATCAAGATGCCTGGATGCTTCTAGATACATAAAGAGCTTTCTTATTTCCTTTTAGGTCTTAGAAAAAAAAAGTCCATTAAGTTCACCCAGAAGCACAAGATGAATTTTAGTCAAATATTTATTGGATGATATAGTATTCTTTTAAGAAAAGCATCTGCCACAAAACATTTGTTTCAAATAATGTATTCCTGGCATGTATCACTGCTGCAGCTACCTTGTTCTCCTTTGCGAAAGGGCATGTTTTATACAGCATGAGGTCGGTATCAGTGCAATCTGTATGGTCTGTCATTTGAGAGACATTTTGACTTTAAAATGTTCTTTGTTTTGCTGAATTGTATAATATCAAGAGATTACTGAAAAAGAATATTTAGTGGCAGATTAAATATATAATTTTATCAATATGACTTTCTGGTTTTTTAACCAGAAAAAGATCTGGTGGTTTCACTGTCAAGCCACTAGTGATGCTTCTCTAAGAGTGTCCGTTTTGAGTCTTGGGAAGACAGCCTAGCTGGGTATTACTAGAATCATTTTAGTGGGATTATGGTGGGAGATGGAGAGGTGTTGAAGTTTAAGCATATTAGTCAGATAAATAACTAGTAAAACAAAAAAGTAAAATCACTGAAAATCTTAAACAGAACCAAATTAGACATATGTGCTACAATAAAAGTAAAAATGGATTTAGACTATTTAGAGTAAGGGAAAAATTAAGAAAATATATGCATTTGGAAGCCAGCACAACTTGTGCAGAAGAACAGTTAAATGACATTGTCATGAAGTTGGTGACATAAAATATATCTTTAAGTAAGGGACTGTCAAAAATTGTTCTTTGGACCCTCCAAATCCACCAACGTATAAAAAGGTAGATTAAAAAAAACTATAATTTGAACATATGACTTTCTTGAAATTGGGTTGTTTGTATCAAATGAGTACCACCAATGTTTTCTACGGAAGGAATAACAATTAAAGTTTAAAAAGCAAAACAAAAAAATAGCATAAAATGAACATACATGTGTTAGAAAAAAATTCAGAGTGAAAGAGTAATCAGAGCTGGGTATGAATGTAGCAAATGCCATTAAAAAATAATAAAGCCAATTCACTGCTACTATGTTTAATTTTAAGAAAAATATTTCTAAGGTAAGTTAGTGAGTTTGTTGTAGGGAAAAATTAAGAAAATATATGCATTTGGAAGCCAGCACAACTTGTCCAAGTGAAGGTCATGGAAGCTCCATAGACACATCCAAACTCCCTGAGGGACCAAATTACTGGGCCAAGGGCTGTGTGCACCGTGGTCTCTAGGAACATCTAGCTCAACTGGCATTACATAGTTTATAAAGAAAATGTTCTACATTCTACTTCGGTGAGTAGCGTCTGGGTTCTTAAAATCTTGTGAGTGGCCATCTAAGACACTCCGCTGGTCTCACCCTGTCTGGAGCAAGGGAGAATGAAGAAAACCAAAGCACAAGGGAAACATTAGTCCAAAGAACTAATGGACCACAACTACCACAGCCTCCACCAGACTGAGTCCAGTACAACTAGATGGTGCCCGGCTGCTACCACTGACTGCTCTGACAGGGATCACAATAGAGGGCCCTGGACAGAGCTGGAGAAAAATGTAGAACAAAATTCTAACTCACAAAAAAAGATCAGAATTACTGGCCTAACAGATACTGGAGAAACCCTGAGAGTATGGTCCCTGGATACACTTTTAGCTTAGTAATGAAGTCACTACTGAAGTTCACCCTTCAGCCAAAGATCAGACAGGCCCATAAAACAAAACAAGACTAAAAGGGCACCCCAGGCAGGAGCAAGGATTAGAAGGCAGGGGGAGATAGGAAAGCTGGTAATAGGAAACCCAAGGTCGAGAAGGAAGAGTGTCGACGTGTTGTAGGGTTGGTAACCAATGTCATAAAACAATATGTGTACTAACTGTTTAATGAGAAGCTAGTTTGTTCTGTAAACTTTCATCTAAATAAAAAAAATTTCAATAATAATAATAAAGTCAATTCACTGCTACAATGTTTAATTTTAAGAAAAATATCTTTAAGACAAGTTAGGGAGTTTGTTGTAGGAAAAATTAAGAAGATATATGCATTTGATGAGGAGTTCATAGTTGTTCTCCAGAAAGAAAAAGTAGTAATTTCTGTCAAGAATTTTAGAGCATTTTAAAGACAACAAAGTCTTTACAATGTGATACCATGACTAGATATCGATCAAGTTTATAAAAATTGTATTCACTTGTTTTGAGCATCAGATTATTTAGCATTATTTGGTCATTAGTTAATCAAGATAACATTTTTATGATGGTAATATAATATGAAGCAAATACAAAGATTTTATTTCTTCTTGGAGAATTACAAAAAAAGATACTCAAGATAATTTATCCACTGATTTGTAGTAAAGGTTTTCAATACTAAATTCCTTTTTTATTTAATACATTAGAGCAAGGATCAGCAAATTTTTTTCTGTATAAGTTCATGTAGTAAATATTTTCAGCTTTTCAAGCCACACAGTCTGTCACAACTACTCAACTCTACCGTTGCAATGCAAAAGCAACCACAGGTGATAGCTAACCAAATAAACATGGCTGTATGGTACAAAAGGTTAACACACTTGGCTGCTAATCAAAAGGTTGGCAGTTTGAGTCCCTCTAAGACACCTTGGAAGAAAGGACTGCAATCTACTTCCAGAAAATCAGCCACTGAAAACCCTGTGGCTCACAGTTCTACTTTGACAAACGTGGGTTCTCCATGAGTCAGAATCAACTCAACTGCAACTGGTTTAAGTTCCAATAAAACGTTATATATGGGCGCTGAGCTTTGAATTTCAGATAATTTTCATGTGTCAAAAATTATTATTATTCTTTAAATTTTTTAATGATTTAAATATGTAAAAACTATTCTTAGCTCACAGGCCGTACAAAAACAGGCAACAGGCTGGATTTGGCTGACCACTACTTTGGAGCCACCCCCATTAATACGCTTGCAGGCTGACAAGACAGGCAAGGCACTAAGCAGGCACTAAATCACTGCTGAAAAAGACACAGAAAAACATAAAGGACCTCCCACAGGTTCCTAGACCTAAGCCAACTGCCTTCTGAGGTCCATCAGTGCTAGATATCTAGCCAAAGCCAATCCGGGGATACTGAGTTTATTGATTTTCTTTTTTGTTTGTTTTTTATTTATTTATATTTATTTATTTATTATACTTTAGATGAAGGTTTACAGAACAAATAGTTTCTCATTAAACAGTCAGTACACATATTGTTTTATGACATTGGTTGACAACATCATGACATGTCAACACTCTCCCTTCTCAACCTTGGAGGACATTTTCACATACAATATGAGGCAACTGAACATACCATGGATGGGTCAGGTGCACCTTAGTCCTCAAAGTGACATCTCATTTGCCCAACATAAAAATCAAGATGCCTGGATGCTTCTAAATACAGAAAGAGCTTCCTTATTTTCTTTTAGGTCTTAGAAAAAAAAGTCCATTAAGTTCACCCAGAAGTCAAAGTTACACCGTTGCAAAAATTTCATGTACAATTCAGTGACATTGATTACATTCTTCCAGTTGTGCTGCTATTCTCACTATCCTTTTCCAAATTATTCCATCACCATTATCTTCAACTCACCGTCCTCTAGGCTTCCCATCAAAACTCTCGAGTTGCTGACGTCAATTTGATCTCACATAGATAATTCTTTTTTTTTTTTTTGGATTTTAGATGAAGGTTTACAGAACAAATAGTTTCTCATTAAACAGTACACACACTGCCCTATGACAATGGTTAACAAACACGACATGTCAACACTATCCCTTCTCAACCTTGGGTTCCTTATAACCAGCTTTCTTGTCCCCTCCTGCCTTCTAGTCCTTGTCCCTGGACTGATGTGCCTCATTAGTCCCGTTTTATTTTATGGGTCTGTCCAATCCCCGGCTGAACGGTGAACCTTGGGAGTGACTTCACTACTGAGCTAAAAAGTGTCCAAGAGCCATACTCTCAGAGTTTCTCCAGTCTCTGTCAGGCCAGTAGATCTGGTGAGTTTATTGATTTCTAATTGAAATATGTTGGGTGGCTGAATCACATAAAAATATATGTACTTTAAACAATCAGAAGTGATATGATTTTAGAAAAAAATACATCACAATTGGTTTTCTTGTTATAGTCACATTTAATTGTAATAGCTAATACACAGGGAATGCTTTCCAAGAGCCAGGAACTTGTCTAAACACTTTAAATATATTAACTTATTTAATTATCATTAAAAAAACCTCAGAAGTGAGTACAATTGTTTTTGTAATTTTACAGATATTATCTTTCAAAATATTCATACAATTTATCTGGTTTGTATTATCAGAAGGGTGTGTGTGTGTGTTTGACTGATAATTCACTTACACCAGAGACCAGGATTATCAAAAAGTCCAGACTCATTCTTGTTTTCTCTAACATCCACCTTTAAAAGATTATTTTTAAAAAAGTAGTTATTATAGCTAATATAATAATTGTTACAGCTATTTTCATCATTCTTAGTGCTTGTGCCCTGAACTCTGATGAAACATTTGATGTCCAGTCCTTCTCATACCACCTCCCAAACAAAGTCACTGTTAAGACAGGTCCAGATGTCGGCTTCAGGCTAAACAAGCGTCCATCACTTGACACCTA